CAAAACGTCGAGAACCAAAAATCAAAAAAAAAGACCGAAAAAAATTATTTTGTTTAAAATGTCAAATATTCGCAAATATCTAGGAAAATATGAAAAAATCAAACAATCTCTTTAAATTAATAATATTATAGCATAGATAAGACGACGTGTTACAATAAAACGTCTCAAATGCATAAAATCCATATATTTCTACAACCGCAACACTTTCCCGCCAATTTATGACATATGTCATAAACTTACCGCGAAACGATGACAGGCGGCGCCGGTAGTAAAGTGGCGGTCATCTAATGTTCATAGATAATAAAATAAAGCAATATAGAAACTGCTTCCTTCTTACCATATCTCGTACTAAATGTGGAATCACTCGTAAAGTAGCTTATATGAATAAGCTTGAATATGGCGTATTTTGTTTTATTTTATGAGAATACTAGCTAAAAGGCAGTGGTAGCCCAGTGATAATGCGCTCGCTTAGGAAACTGAATGATGCGGGTTCTAATCCCGGGTCTCGCACCTCTGATAATTTCATGTGCGAATCATTTCTAACATGATTACCATTTGTCTTACGATGAAGGAAAACATCGTGAGGAAACCTGCATGTCTGAGATAACCTAGCAAGTTTTCGAAACACATGGTCAGTCCGCCCGCACTTGGCCAGTGTGGTGGACTATGGCCTGATCCTCCTCGTATTGAAGGGCGGCCCACGCCCAGTAGTGGGACGTTAAAAAAAGGGCTGAATACAATACTAGCGACTTGCCCTAAACCCTTGCTTCACTCGAGTGTATCCCTAGGTGCCTAACAGTAACCTATGTGTTACTCCAGGTCATAGCCTATCTTCTACTAAATTTCATCCAAATCTGTCCATCCGTTTTAATGTGGAGTAGTAACAAACAAACATACCTACACATTTTATATACACACAAACTAGCATTTTTTTAGTAGTTCGGTTATATAATTCTGAATATATGTATTTTTAGGCTTTCTTAAAATAGTTGGTAAAAATAAACCCCTTTAAAAGGCTTATATTAAACTTCAATCAAAACTTCGCCAATACTTTTTTTTGCAAATTGAAATTTATGCCTCGATTCTATAGTATTGTCTATAGTCTATAGTACTTGTTGAATAGACTAAAATAATGTCGGTACAAAAAATACAATTTTAGGAAGTCGAAGTTGTGGAATTTGCATTATATGTTATTTTCAAATATGTATTATATTTGCGCAACATTGATGATGTAAGCATGTATGATGTTTGACCGACTTCTAAAAACGGAGGCGGTCAATTGACGAAAAACTAAGGTTCCACAATGTACATCAAAAACTTTATAAAATTTTTAGATATTTATTTTAAGAATGAAATTAATATCTAGGATAATAAAATTCTAACTGACTCGATTCTGTACATTAAATATTTTTTGGAACATCTTATTGAAATAGTCATTATTATCGATACAGAGGTCGAATCTATAGTTTTTAGAATTTTTATCTGTCTGTTTGTCTGTTACCGCATCGCGAGAAAACTACTGGACACATTTTGATGAAATTTGATATGATGATAGCTGGTTATCCAGGTCAACATATAGGATACTTTTTACCGCGGGAAAATATCTCATCTCTGAGAAATCTATACTAAACGTTAAAACGTAAATAGGGTCAACCCGAGCGGAGCGAGGGTGAGTCGCTAGTTTTATTATGAGTATAGATTGGACTGCTTAAATAGCGCGGACAACAACGAGCATTAGTCATCAGATAATTCAGAACAAACTCAAACATTTTAAAACTATTTACATTTTTAAATAACAATGTCTCTATTAAAGTTTCAGTAATTTATACATCCATAGTAATATTATAAATGTGAAAGTATGTTTGTTTGTTCGTCTGTCCTTCTTTCAAGTCAAAACGGAGTGACCGATTGGCGTGATTTTTTGTGTGGAGATACTCGGAGGGCTGGAGAGTGACATAGGCTACTTTTTACCGCGGGAGATTATCTCATTCCCACGGGAAAACAGTTATAATACAATCCAAAAAAAAAAAATATGATCAGAATTACTTGAAACTTGGTATTAATGCTCTTCAATAAAATTAAATAAATACGTGTCTTAGAATTTTTCGAAATTCATCCTATAAGGGGGTAAAACAAGGAGAAAAAATTTGTATGAAACTACCCTTTTAGACATTTTTTTATAGTTTTAGCGCGAGCGAAGCCGCGGGTTCTGCTAGTTTCTTAAGAAATTAAAATCATATATTTTAAATACAGCTGTTTTTATTTATAGTTTGTTTACATTGTAGCATCGATCGTCTATAAACTTTATTACACGATGCACTTAAAATTCCTTATCTAAATTAAACTAGCCTTTACCTACGACTTTGCACGTGTATTTATTTCGATATTTTTAATAGTATAATAATTTCTCTTTAAATGGAATACTCTAGCCCTTTAGGGTTTATAACTAGATTTGTTTAAAATAATTTTGTTTGATTTATATATATATATATATATATATATATATATATATATATATATATAAAAGGCAAAAGTGATTGACTGATGTATCAACGCATAGGCCACAAACCCTTAAGGCTAGGAAATTGAAATTTCGCACACGTATTCCTCATATGACGAAGGCCACTAAGGAAGGATTTTTGAAATTTCGTATGAATTAAGTACGACAAAAATTATGAGTTACGTATTTCAGCGTTTTCTAAAATTCAACCCCCAAGAGGGTAAAATAGACGATGAAAGTTTTTTTGAAACCCACTTTTTAGAGCTTTTTTGTAGTTTTAGCGCGAGCAAAGTCGCGAGTTCTGCTAGTTTATAATAAAACTAGCGATATAGGCTCGCTTCACGCGGGTGCCCGTTTGGTTGTTCCCTTGGTACGTTTTAACGGTTAGTATAGATTTCTCAGAGATGAGATATTTTCACGCAGTAAAAAGTGTCCTAAATTTGAGTATCCTATATGTTGACCCGGATAACCAGCTATCATCATACCAAATTTCATCAAAATCTGTCCAGTGGCTTTCTCGTGATGCGTTCCCAGACAAACAGACAGATAAAAATTCTAAAAACTATATTTATTTCTTTATTTCATGAGATAGTTTTATTTAAAATGTCAAATATTCGCGTAAATCTAAGAAAGTATTAATATTTCATGAGCACACTTACAATATTCATATTTAACATTCAGCCTCTGTATCTATAATAATAACTATTTCATTAATATTATCTAAAAAAAAAGTAAAAAAAACCCGACTTCCAAGCAGTAAAATGTAAAAAATAACTAAACGCGGGTTTTCATTTTGAATAGATACCTAATCAGATATTTTCGTAATCGGTGCCAACCGACGCATAGGAAATCTAATAGGTATATTTCGATACGTAAAATACATATTTACCTATTAGATATTCATATTTTAAAATATTGTCGGTACGAGTATATTTGTTAGTTCTTTAGGCTGTAATGTTAAGGTGAAAGTTGTAATGAATATAGGTAATAACTTAGGTCCTAGATTAAAACATAGACTTTTTATTGACCTATAACACAAGAAATCCTAACATACATACATACAAACAAACAAACAAATTTTATTTTTTTATTAATTTCCATATAGTAATGTAAATTCTGTTAGTTTTATACGTTCGTAGACAACAATGTACAAACATACATATAAATCTTGAAGCTTAAAGGAAATTAAACTAAATGCTGACTAAATATGCGATAAAAGCGGCTATAAAACCTTATTGCCACCATACGACTTCCATAAAATATAAAACGTACCTACTTCTATTTTGAAGATATCAAAAAAGCTATTTTATTATACACTAGCATTGCCCGCGGCTTCGCCCGCGTTCAGATGACCAAAAACCAAATTCTTAGGTTTTACATATTAGTATACTCTTACATTGCAGTTTTTGTATTTTTTCTCAGAAATGAGACATTTTCTCGCGGTAATAAGTATCCTATATGTTGACCCGGATAACCAGCTATCATCATACCAAATTTCATCGAAATCCTTCCAATGGTTTTTCTGTGATGCGATAATATACAGACAGATGGACAAAAAATCTAAAAACTATAGATTTGGCCTCTGTATCGATAATAATGTTTATTTCAATAAGATTTTCCAAAAAATATGTAATGTACAGATTCAGCTTAGTTACAATTTTATTATAGGTATGTATGTATTCAGCCCTTTTTAACGTCCCACTGCTGGGCACGGGCCTCCCTTTAATACAATCAGGCCATAGCCCATCACGCTGGCCAAGTGCGGGTTGGCGGACTTCACATGTCTTTTGAAAACTTGCTAGGTTCTCTCAGACATGCAGGTTTCCTCACGATGTTTTCCTTCACCGTAAGACAAGTGGTAATCATGTTGGAAATGATTCGCACATGATAATATCAGAGGTGCGAGACCCGGGATTTGAACCCGCTTCACTCAGTTTCCCAAGCGAGCGCGTTACCACTGGGCTACCACTGCTTAAACAAACAAAAAAAACTGTCCACTTTATAATATTAGAATACATATAGACTAGTAACCCAACCTTGTTTTGCTCCGACTCTTACTGCACTACTCATTTTATAGTTTTAATTTTGGCCTATCCTACTAATATTATTTACAAACTATTTTGACACGTTTGGCTCAGTTTGTAGTGACCCTACTTGCTCTGCCAGCGGTCACGGGTTCGAATCCCGCTGGCATTCATTTGTGTGATGAGCACAAATATTTGTACTCCAATCATGGGTGTTTATATTTATAATATGTATGTATTTAAAGTTATATATGTGTAGTGTATAAACTATCTGGTATCCATAACACAAGCCTGGTAGCTAACCATGGAACTAGATGGCGCTGTGTGCTAATGTCCCAACATATTTATTTATTCCAATTATTCGCACGCCATCTATTACACTTTTAAAGAACCTATTTCAAAAATCTTTAAACGTACATACAAATTTCACCACATTTTTTTATATAGATATTAACAATCCTCTTTGAAAATTTCAGATTTCGCGCCTGTCTCAAGCTCGCCGACACTTCAGTATCAAACATGGTGGGAAAGCTGTTCTTCAACATCGTCCAAACAAAATGTTTCATTTTAAAACCAGTTAAAGTGTGCACTCAAAGGTCTTGGTGGGGCAAATGTCTACGAAGAGGTTATATGAAGCAGGCCTTCTTACGAGATAACCTATCCTACTAACGTCGAGATATATTGTGCTATTATTCATATTATTTACTAGCATTGCCCGCGGCTCCGCCCGCGTTCAGATGACCAAAAATCAAATTCTTAGGTTTTACATATTAGTATACTCTTACATTGCAGCTTTTGTATTTTTTCTCAGAAATGAGATATTTACCAGCGGTAAAAAGTATCCTATATGTTGACCCGGATAACCAGCTATCACCATACTAAATTTCATCAAAATCCCTCCAGTGGTTTTTCTGTGATGCGGTAACAGACAGACAAATATTCTAAATACCTGTATCGATAATAATGTCTATTTCAATTGGATTTCCCAAAAAATATTTAACGTACAGATTCGGCTTAGTTATAATTTTATTATATATGTATAGATTTGTTAGACAGATGTTACTTTTTCACGTAAATCAACGAATTTCAGTAAAATTCATAATGGAAATCTTATATCTTCGAATAACACAAGCTGTCCATAATACGCGAGTAAAACCGAGGACAAAAACTAGTATGTAAACGGTGAAAGTTTGTTTGAATGTTTGTGTGTTTGTTCTCATTTTCACCTGAATTTTGATAAGATTTGTCTAAGTCAATATATAAGTGGTTTCCATACCTACGGGTCTATCTGTGAAGAAGAAGAAGAAGAATGTCTAGGTCTCCTTCTAGATGATTGAAGAGTTTACTTATGATCTTTTAAAAGCCACATTAAATTATGGCGTCATTTCTTTGTTTTTTTTTTATGTTTTAGATCTGTTATCGTCTGTATTTTATTGAATTGATATAATTTAGCTTTTATATGTATAATAACATGTTGCTCGAGAACTTCACCTAAAATCACCAAAAATCAAAATCTAATGCACTCTTGAAGTAAAATTTATTCCAAAAAATTTCTCGATTGGTGATGATATTATAGTAACATATAAACAAGAATTGAAAATACCTCATCTTTTGGAAGTCGGTGAAAAATACTTCTTTGTAAGAGTCTTATGGTAATGCCGCCATCTTTACTGTATTTTCACGTGTTTTGTTTTGACATATTATTTATATATATATAAATTTCAAAACATTTCAGTACCTTTTTCTCCTCTGTTTGTCAAACGATTTTCTTTTTTTTTTAGTTTGCTATGGACCAGTTTTAGTGTTATCTATAAAAAAATTGGACAGTTATTTAATGATTACGATTTTCATAGATCTGTTCTAATTAATTTAATTTATCAACTTTTATTACCATTTTTGGCGAGTTGCGGGTAGATTGTAAAAGAATATTTCTCATATTTGAAGTAAATTTCTCTTAATAATTTTATTTATGGATTTTAGTGTATTATAATTTTATTTTAAGTTGAAAGCATACCAGATGATATTACATTCGTAACAAAAAAGTATAAGTTTAAAAAAACTATTAGTTTATAAACTTTTTTTTTTAATTATGTAGCAAAAATACGCACAGATACAATTTTTACCAATTATGTTATAAAATTTTTTTTAAAAAACACAAGATTTTTTTTAAATATTATTTTATATATGTGCTTGTTTTATTAAATTGTGTGTTATATAATTTTAAGTAGTAATAATTTATTTTAAAATTATTTCTTAAATGTGATCAACATTTAATTTAACATTTCTTCTTCGTTTACTGTCATGGTTTAAAAATGAATTATGTATTATACTGTACATAGTGTAAGTATCAAGAATAAATAATTTATTTATATAGAACTTATATGGTATTTGATTGTAAATTCAAGGTAACTTAGCTTTTTCCGGGTAACTTTGAACCATCAAAAACATGTTTAACTGTTATTGTTATTAATAAAAATAATTAACAATTATAGCAAACTATGATTTTTTTTATTATAAATGAGTGGTTAAATATTTTATTATTTACTTATTAGTTATTGTTCCTTAACTGCAAATGTAATTGGTAATAATAATACCGTAAGAATTTAAAGTTACCCTTAAAAAGTGTTAAAATATATGACTAATACATTATTTTTCCGTAAGATACATATCCAATGAGAGTTATTGGGAAAATAATAGGTTTAAATGGATATATTGAATGTATATTTGAGTTTTTAATATGAATTAATAAAATAATTAGTAAATGAGGTTTGTTGGGTTTTTAAAAAAGTAATCTCGTTCTTGTAGCATAGACTTATAGTCCTCAAGTAAACAGCATATAATATACCAAATATAACCATTTGTGTCCAAAGAAATTTAAAAAAACACACACTTTTCCCATTTTAATTAAAAGAATTAAAATTAATGCGCTATATTAATATATAAGACATTTTAATACATCTAAAGACAAATAAATTATATTTATTTTATGCGTTTACTTTAGGACTATTGAAGTTCTTCCTTTATCATGATAATTTTATATATATTATAAATTTAAGAATAATAATAAAAATTGTAAAAATTAGACTCTTTTGCTATTATCAAATTTAATGTTAAAATCTCGTAGATGTTGCTAAAAACTTAATAAAATCTTGTCCAAAATTTAGTAGTTCCAAGCTAATGCTACTCTCTAATAGATGGCGTTGGTAGTACTTAGATTGCCAGTAATTTAATAAGATACATGATCCGTTAGTTCAAAAAATAAATGTGAATATTTAAAATAATAAAATTGCTAATAAAAAAAATGTAAAAAGAAAAATAAAAAATACCTATATGGACCTTACGCTTTACATATTTTCCTCATCCGGGATTCAAACTTAATGACCTTTGTGCAATAGACAGTTACTACATACTTTAAAATTATAAAATATATTCATTCAGTATTAAAATTCTTAATTTAAAAAATAAAATAAAATCTATAAAGGATCATGTATCTTATAAATAATGTAATTATTATAATTAATTATAAAAAGTAATGTGAAATTGTGAATATAATTTTTTAAATTCAATTTAATATTCTGTAAATTAATAGTTTTATCTGTAACAAAATGGGTCGTGGATGTAGATTATATATAACACATATTTAATATTTTTATTTATTTATCTGGATATCAAAAAGGAGGTTTTACATCAACTTCTTAAAATAATTAAATATTTTTTTTATACTTTAATCAATTGATCTTATTTTTAATTTCATAAAATCAACAATATGGAAAATTTTAATGCACTACTCTTCTATACCACCCCAATTTACATAGAATAATTATTTTACTTGATATAAATACTTAAATTGCATTTTAATTGATATAAATACTTAAATTGTTTTTAGTTCCAAAATTTCCTTTTATTACGTCTCAAGTCAATTCATGTTTAAAAATCTTGTGTATGTATTATGAAACCTCCCACAGTCTATTTTTTTTTTAATGTTATCAGAAACGATGAAGTATAAAAAAATATTTATTCAAATCACAATAAACTTACGTTTTTTTACTCCAGGCTACTTTGTTTGTAACTTATTTTGACAGTCAAGACAATGATCTGTGTTACACTTTAAAATAGACGGAACCGAGGTAAATAGCTAGCTTAATACATCGTCCAGTTTAATTTTTAAGCCAAAATAGCGTAAGTTAGTCGTTACTGTTCGAAGTTCCTGTATTGACAATATTTATGTAGTATGACTGTAAAGTTGGGTTAAACTAAAATAAGAGGCCCTACGTTGCTTGGGGGCCTCGTTCAAAATATTTTTTTTTTAATAATGATATTTCACAAATATATATTGTTTATCAAAAACTTTGTCTAAAGCAATTTGAAAAAAAGGAATCAAATTTAAAATTCATATTTTTTTAGCATTAAATTTTGACAATTTTTACTGTATGTCGAGTCTACTAGTCTTGACAGCTGCTATTGATGAAGAAAATGTAGATTCTTGATATATTTAAGGGTTAAAGTCTAAAATTTGATGGTATTTCTACTATAATAATAATTAAAATTGAATTACATAGTTTTAAACATCAAAGTATGTAAAGTAGATATCATATAGTTATAAAGGGCCTCCCAAGGCCTCCATCGACTAGGAGCCTCGTTGTTTAATCCGGCTGTGTGAGTCAGTAAGTTAGTGAGTTTATTTAATGTCTTAAGTAATTTATAGTGTGCATGAATTATTTTTTTAAATAAAAATCTGGTCTCTGTACTTAGAAGTTCTCGATTTACTAAAATATGGTACTAAAGAGATTTAAATAAATATATAGTGATGATTTTTGTATTTTTATTTTTCTCTTATAATGATGAAGTACTTAGTAGAACCTTCCATTAGCTGAGGATTCATGGAAATTGAAGGTAAATATAAACTAAGTATAAATGCGAAAGCTTGTATGTCTGATTGTTACTTGTTCATACTGAAACGGCTGGATGGACGGCTTAAGTGAGGGCTCCGCGTTTGAATTCGCCGCGAGAGGCGTTAGTGTAGAGCGAGGTACAATTGTCAAATGCCACAGAATTTATTCGTGATTATTGTAAACAGTATGCCATTCTTAATTAATTTTGGCAAACATGGTACGACTCAATAAATATTATTGCTTTTAAAGAAGAACTAAGAAATAGACAATATTTTATCTATTTGGTTATTATATTCAACTTATTAACTCACTTCACATTCTTTCACTTAAAAATAATAAATAAAACATACTTCACGGAACTACTTTTATCTTTTAAAGTAAATTTTATACAAAAAATAATATATCGATAAAATAACGCCATCTATTGGCATTTATTTGAACTTAACATAAAAATATTTTAGCAAAAAAACATGATATTTTGTTGTTTTAGCATTAATTAATATCTACATACTAAAGGAAGAATTTGAAATTGGCAAAAAATAAAACGCCATTATAATACACATAATAATTTATTTTCTATTTTAATATAATAATAACAGATTGCCTCGATGCTTCAATGGCTAGTATATACAGTTGCAGATGCATCCGGTTGCAGAAGGTCTTGGGTTCGAGAGCCGGTCAATAATTTTATTGGTTAAGACGAAAATGCTGTCAAACGCAAAGTTTCAATTCAATTCTTTAGTTTCGTGGCTTCTAAGCATAGCATTTGGGCACAATTTACTTTTTACCAATATTCCTCGTCTTCTCCATTTCACGTGACATTGGCGAAGTAATCTGTGCTCGACTGGCACGCTTTGAACTCATTGGCAAGAAAATTGAATTGAATTATATGGGTATGGGTATGTGGAATGTGATATGCTATTTCTCCCCATGCTTCCCCGCCATGTCTCCGCAAGGCCCGAAGCCGCAGTGCGGGGAGTGCCATCTACACATCTATGGGAAGTATGGGTTAGGGAACTGTGGTCAGGGCCGTCTCAAGCCATACAGGAGTCCCTGGGCAAACAAAAATTAAGGCCCTTTTTGATAGGTGACAAAAATTAAGTAACTTACAAAAATTTTAAAAAATCTCGTTGACTTAAAAATGAAACTATCGTCTATTCGGGCCACCATGAGACTGAGGGCCCTGGGCCTTTATAGTAAAGACGGAACTGGTTGTGGTATACTATTTCTCCCCATGCTCCCCACCTAAATATCTGCAAGGCCCGAAGCCGCAGTGCGGGGAGTGTCCTCTACATATCTATGGGTAGTATGGGTTACTGGACTGTGGTATACTATTTCTCCCCATGCTTCCCCGCCATATGTCTCCGTAAGGCCCGAGGCCGGGTGTACGCCGCGCCACAGTGCGCGCACGCGTGCAGCGCCGGCGCGTGCGACGCCATGTGCTCTTGTAGACTTATCTTATATCCGAACTTTTTGTTGCAGATTGTACACTGGAAATAGCACGCAATCTCATATAACCCAGTCGGTTTGTCGAAAAAAAGAGCTTAAACACGGAAAAAATCTAGACCGAAACATTATTTGACCAGCCTTTTGCCGAACGAAATGTAGGAATTTTGATTCCACACAACTTTATTATTGAACATTTAAATCTATACATACATACATATAATAAAATTCTAACTGAGTCGAATCTGTACATAAAATTTTTTTGGAAAATATGATTGAAATAGTCATTATTATCAATACAGAGGCCGAATCTATAGTTTTTAGAATTTTTGTCTGTCTGTCTGTCTGTCTGTGACCGCATCACGAGAAAACCACTGGACGGATTATGACGAAATTTGGTATAATGATAGCTAGTTAACCGAGTCAACGTATAGGATACTTTTTACTGCAGGAAAATATCTCATCTCTGAGAAATCTACAGGGAGCGAGGGTGAGTCGCAAGTCGTATATATGATAAATAATAATAGTTCAATAAAAACCTATTTCAGTTTTACTTTTTTAGATCTTTTGCTCTAAAACCTTATTAACACCATATACCATATACTCTAACTATATAATATATTCATCTAACTCTCTCGTAGATTACTTTTCTGAAGTTTTACTTCCACTGTGAGCGAATTGCACACAATTTTTTTTTCATTTAACAGGAACTATGAACATTAGATTGACTTTTGTATGAAGTTAAGTCATACATACATACATACATATATGTATGTATGTTTGTATGTATGTATGTATATATATATATATATATATATGTATGTATATATATATATATATTTATTTATATATATATATATATTTATTTACATACCCACCTCATGCGATTTTAGTCCAAGATGCCGTTGCAAGTGAGCTCGGAGGTTAGAACTTGACACACAGCGCTGTGGGCAAATGCTGCATCTGTAAGGTCGCTCTCCTGTGTGTTTTCTGTAACGTTAATGAAAAAAATCAAAATATACTTTATTCAAATAGACATTTTACTCAAATAGCACTTTTAAATCGTCAATTTTACAATTTTAAATTTATATTAATATATATTACGTTTAGTATAGATTTCTCAGAGATTTGCTTTGTATGGGCTGGCACCGATTTCGAAAATATTTGATTAGGTATGTATTTAATAGGTAGGCTTTAATTACTTAGCCAAAGCACACCGACTTCGAAAATATTTGATGAGGTATGTATAGTAAATGAAAACTACCAATCAGTTATTTTTTACTTTTTAGTGCTTTTGTTTGAAGTCGATTTTTATTTTTTTGTTAAAAAGTTTTTATTTTTCCCTTTTTAGTGTAGACAGTAGTAGCAAAGTAAGAATTCTAACGTGTTAGGCTTGTCGAATCAAACAAAATAAGCCCAAACTCAAAGTATCTACTATTAGCCGTTGAAGAGTTCCACCTATCCACCTTCTGGCCTTACCATCAGATCAGGTCGACAATACCGAATCACTGTACTATCAACGGAAATAGAACACTTGCAAAGTTTCAAGTCAATATGACAATTAGAAGTAGGTTAAATTCATCATTAGCTATTTTTCCACCCTTAGGGGTGGTATTTTTTTTTGAAATTTAAATGGGACATATCTGGAAGTATACCCTTTCAAACAAATCAAAAATTGTCCAAATCGGTTAATAAATGACGAAGTTCTGAGGTAACAAACAAAAAAAAAAAATACAGTCGAATTGAGAACCTCCTCCTTTTTGAAGTCGGTTGAAAAGCCACACTTCATAATAACATTTACAAAAATCTTGTAAAATATTCATATAGCAACTTAAATTCATTAAAAACTATGAAACAATTACAGCTGAATAAAGTAATAAATATTAGCGTTTTATATTATTAATGCTATTACCTTATATGTACAATGAGAGAGGACCTCTGTATGGTTCGGAAGCCACAGTGAGGACACACATGTTGCTTATCACCTGTATGAGTCAACTTATGTTTGTTTAGATAGTCTCGTCTCGTGAAAACTCGGCCACAGCTCTACACCAGAAAAAAAATATTATATGAAATATAATAATGTGTAGTAAGTAATCAGTTAAATATTAATGATTTTAATATTTTCAGAACTAACTAAAACTAGCTAAATCCATTCTAATATTATAAATGTCAGTTTGTGAGGCTGGATGGATGTTTGTTACTCTTTCATGTCAGAACGGCTGAACAGATCTCGATGAAATATAGCACAGAGATAGATTATAGGCTGGAATAGCACATAGGTTACTTTTTATCCCGGAAAATTGTACAGTGGGATAAATTTATTTTTGTCTAGGGACGAACCCGAGGCAAAGCGAGGGTGAGTCACTAGTAAATAATAAAATGATCATAACGAGATATAAGAAATGATGAGTAAATGTTAGACAAAATAAAAATTATAATAATGAAATAGACTTATATTTCGATATTTGTTATAATTTATATTCTATGAGTGTAATTCAATTAAAATCGAACTTGCTATAGTAGTATAAAAAAGGTAATAATTGATTATCTTAGTAATAGTTTAAAAGTTAAAGATTTTAATTTAATTCAGTTTTTTTTAAATATATGTACTTAAAGCAATTTAAAAGCAAAGCTAAAACCATATTTATTTTTTCTCTTCTTTGTATTTTGTTTTTTTATAACTTATTTGTGCAATAAAGAATAAATATATTTTTAGTTCTTAAATTAAATAACAAACCTCACAAACATAGTTCTTTTTATCTGATTTATGTTCGCTTTCTACATGTTGTTTTAAACTCTCTCTATTTCTAAACAATTTCTTACACTTCTGACACTTAAACATTTCATCTGGTAGTTGAATTGACACATTTTCTCTATGAGCCCGCATGTGAGCCTCAAAAATTCCTCGTTTAGGAAGATATCTGTCACAAATAGTACATTTATAGCCATCTTTTAAACCTTTACAAAAATTATTTTCATGGCAAAAACGAGCTTTGCGATTTTTAAACTGTTTTTCACAACCGTAACATTTATATAATCCATTTTCAATACCGTGGCACTGAAAGTTATGATTTTTAAATTTATCAAGTGTCTCACACTCTATCATACACACATTGCAATATGTTGGTGTTCTTTTTGGTTGATATTTCCATTTCCTTTCAGTTTTACATTTCCTTTCAGTCTTGCAGTTTTCATCAGTATTTGAATAATTTTCTACAGAATTTTCTTCTGTTTCAATGTCTTCATATTTAATTTTTACATCACTGATAGATCGATCATGATTACTTAGAATTTCACGTAACTTTTTATCAGTATCTTGGCAGAATTTTTTGAAATCATGAAATTTATTTATTTGTATGCAACATTCATCACAGGCTTTATTTGGATGAGTATATGGAGAAAGCATTATGTCTAGACAATCTGTTATTTTATTTGCTAAATCAATTTCAATGGAATTTGTTGTATTTTCTGTAGTATCACTGGTAATTTCAGTAAAGGCGTTGCGGTTCCAACAAAATCTGCACACATTGTCTTGTTGAAAGTATTCATAATTATATACTGGATCAGAATTTGCCGTAACGGAATCGGACGTCATTTTAAAAATATCTTATTATACTTCTTATACTCTAATAAAATTAAATTAAAAGGATTTCGTGTAAACAATTTTTGTTTACAACTTTCTCAATAAAATTTGAAGACGTCAAGCTGACATTGACAATGATTATTTTTAATTTGTATGCTTTAGCTACTGCTTAATTGGCATATTTTGTACCCACTTAACTACTGCATAAAAAATTATAATATTTATACAGCTAAAATTAATAAATAATATTGCTATATTTAATTATAATAATTAATATAAATGTATGTTTGAGACGTCTATAACCTTAGTCTCTCCCGTGACTGTGATTGCTATTAAGTGTAAAGCATTCGAAACGTCGGAAACCAAAAATCAAAATAAATTCGCAAAATAATCCGAAAAGATAGTTTTATTTAAAATGTCAAATATTCGCGTAAATCTAAGAAAGTATTATTAGCTCTCTTTCCATTTATATCTTCTTTAAGCTCGTGTAAACTGATGGCCGCCGCACTCTCAGCTTCATGTGGAATATCCTAATTCCATTAGTTAAGTATATATTATTTTTCAAGACTTCTGTTCGATAACTCCTATTAACGCCATCTATTGCCGAATAGCGAAATACAAAAATTGTTTTACAGAAATAATATTAGTCTTGTTACTTGTTTTAATGTAGATATATTTAATAAATAGCACAAACTGCATATTGAGGAGCTATTCTGCACATCACGCCGAATATGATGGCCTTAGCGTCGAACACCTACGATATGCGGGGGTGCACCTACCTAGAGTACTTATGTCATTCTACAATTTATGTATTGGACATGGTTACCTACCAGATGCAATGATGAGGACAGTAGTCGTGCCTATCATCAAAAATAGGACGGGAGATGCGGCGGATAGAACCAATTACAGGCCGATATCCCTGGCTACAATCATAGCTAAGGTGCTGGACAGCCTGCTTGACACACAATTAAACAAGGCAGTCAAAATACACGATGCGCAGTTCGGTTTCAGGCCAGAACTATCAACTGAGAGCGCAATACTGTGTCTCAAGCAGTACTACACTGTGAGGTACTACACGGACAGAAAAACCCAGGTGTATGCATGTTTTTTGGATCTGTCCAAAGCATTTGATCTCGTGTCCTACAAAATTCTATGGCAAAAGCTTGAAAAGGAAAGTACCTTAAGACCGGAACTAATTTCACTGCTCAAGTACTGGTACGGTAATCAGGCTAATGTGGTTAGGTGGGGTGACACCCTTAGTGATCCATACAAACTGGCGTGTGGAGTGAGGCAGGGAGGGCTGACATCACCCAGGCTGTTCAATCTTTATGTGAACCAGCTCATAGAGAGGCTCAGCACAGCCGGTGTCGGTTGCTCCATCGACGGAGTACCTATGAACAATTTTAGTTACGCGGACGACATGGTTCTGCTGAGCCCCACTGTCAGTGGACTAAGAAAGCTTATAAAAATTTGTGAAGAATATGCGGAGGAGAATGGACTCAGATACAACTCCAAAAAGAGTGAAGTCTTGACTTTCAGGGGAAAGAACAAACCACTAAATTACAAGCCATGTTTTCAGCTATGTGGGACTCCCCTGAAGCAAGTAGCTGAGTTCAAGTACCTAGGGCATATTGTAACCGAACGCCTGGATGATGGTATTGACATAGAACGTGAACGCAGGGCGCTGTCGGTCAGGGGCAACATGTTGGCCCGTAGATTTGCACGTTGTACGACACAAGTAAAGTTAATCTTGTTTAAAGCCTTTTGCCAGTCCTTCTACACGTGCAACCTATGGACGGACTACACGCAGCGGACCTACAGTGCTCTGCGGGTAGAGTACAACAATGTGCTGAGGGCGGTGCTGAGAAAGCCTCGACACTGCAGTGCGTCGGCAATGTTTGCGGAGGCGCGTGTGGACGATTTTTACGCGATCATACGCAAGCGTACCGCGTCCATAATAAGCAGGTTAGTGAGCAGCTCCAACACCCTCCTTGGCACATTGGCGGTCAAGATGGACAGCCCTCTCTGGAGGCAATGGAATAGGGTTCACATAGCCACGAGGCGGACCTAAACGGGTCTCATGCTTGTGGTGTGGCCTTAGCACGTAGGGCAATCTAGTTGTTTTTTTTTGTTTTCCTTTTCTCTTCTTAAGGTAACATAGGTTAAGTATTTTGTATTACTAACTCTTAGAATAGATAAATTGTATGTGTTTTAGTTTTAAATTCTTTTCTCTGTGTAATTATGGGTTTTTGCCTGAATTAAAGATTATTATTATATTATATATTATATATATATTATATCTTCATTATATCTTTTCCAAATTTTTATGAGACCAACTTAGTTACTACTTTTCAAATAAAAAAACAACCATCGAAATTGGATCTAACAAGGCGGAGATAGCCCCCTTTTGGAAGAAATACCTAATACCTTTCCAATCAAAAATAGCCAACGATACATCTATAAAGTTGTAAAACCTGTATACCACGTTTCGTCCAGATCCTGTAGAGGAGTACCAACAAACTGACCGAAGAAAGCAAATTGTGCCAGACTTGAAGCAGACGCTTCGCTCGCTGGGTCAATTATTTATTACTTTAACGTCATATCATCGCTTAGTATATCATCTGTTTTTTTGGTATGGCGTCACCTACCTTTTGTAATTTATATCACATACAGACAACGCAGACTTTCAATCTATTTGTGTACTAAAATCCATCTAAATCCATACAGTCATTTCACCCTGATTATGTAACAAACATATTACATACATATACAAACTTTCACATACAGCTTGTGCTACTCCAGCTCAGTCTGTGTACTAAATTTAGAATTTAGGAGTAACAAACCAACACACATACACACTTTTACATTCTTAATAGTTTTTTTTTATATAACACAATGTAAATAATTAGAAGCGATCATAATTAACTGGTATTTTAGCCTTTAAATATTTGAATATCACGTACTTCAGTTTTATTTAGAACTTGCGACTTGCCCTCGCTTTGCGCAAGTTCAATTTCATAGGTTTTATTTTTTTCGCGGAAGCTTCTTTTTTTTTTAAATAAAAGTAGCCTTAGTTACTCCTCATAACATCAGTTATCTGCTAAGGAGTCTCGTCAAATTCTGTCCAGCCATTTCGGAGATAAGCCGGAACAAACAAACAAAAATTTTAAAAATAGATTTTTTCATATAAGTACCGTGACTTTCTTTATGCATTTAGTAAGAAGCTGTTATTTTGACATTACAAACAGACACTTAAATTTTATTTATCTGTATGTATAGAAAACCTGTACATTTTAGGAATGAATAAAAACACGAATTAAATTTTTTAAATTATAATGTTGACAGCCAACTTGTTACAAAGTAAAACCTTATACGTAACTCTTAAGACAATTTAAACTTAAAACTAAGTTGCAATTGAAACGGAAAACACTTAAAAACAAATTTTTCACTATCTTTACACAATGCAAGCATTTTTAAAGTAATATTACTAAAACAAGAGTGTTAAAGAACATAATATTCTGTTATACTAATATATGTATAAATGATTTTATAAAAAATAACAAATTTTTGAGATAAGACGGCTACTTACACTATTGTTACATTTTAAAATAGTTCACATTTTTTTTATTTTCAGTAAAAAAAATATTTACCTGTAGACGATTTGACAGTTTTAAAATCGCTTTCTGTAAAATGCTGTCCAATTTTTTTGTCAAATTTGGTCGTCTTATTGCTTTAACCCAAAATTTCTTCAGGTTTTTGTCTTTTGGGAACAAATGATCTCCATTTTCTTTGCATCCTGGCAATGCACAATTTGTCATGAAAAAAAAAACCATTGACGATATAAAGCTTTACAATATACTGAGGTCTATAGTGATCGCGACATCTAGCGGGAGAAAATGACAAAATTCTTCCCCATTTGTCTTGAAAAAAATATTCATCCTCCTAATAAATCGAGTGGGGTATCAAAATACAGGTTTTTAAAAAGTGATTACAAATATATAAACAACTTATATGTTTAAAAGTAATTTAAGATAAGAAATTGTTAATTAAAACTAAAAATTTCTATCTCATCAAAACAAAAAAACTGTAAATAAAAAATTATTCACAAAAATAAAAAACCCGAGTGCGTAAAAGGTGAACTAAAAAGACTCTCAAGCTGATAAAGAAACAGTATATCATACAGTCGGAGACATACATATAATGTATATGTTACAGAATAGACTTCCAAGTTCCTTCGTCAACTACTTGTTTTGTTTTTAGTTAATTTTTTCAATCAGGTTATTTATTTTTGCAATTATATGTTTTATATAAACTTATGAAGTACAAAAAGTTTTGATTAGTAATTGTAAAAATATGCATAGGAATATGGTAATATTATATTTATTGAAAAATAACTAGACGAGACAAAAAAAAAGTTGTAAAATTTTTTTTTGAGTAAATGCTGACAGATAACCCGTATGATACTTCAACAGTTTATTTCTATTTAAAGATTATTTTTATTTTTCTTAAAGTAATATATTTAATAAACCCAACTTCATTCAAAAATACTACAAAATTTTTCATCTATACAGATAAATAAAATTAAAGTGTCTGTTTGTAATGTCAAAATAACAGCTTAATACAAAATGCATATGAAATTTTATGCAGTACATATATAAGAAAAACCATTTTTTTTACATTTTTGTCTGTCTATCTGTATGTTCAGGCTAATCTCTGAACGGCTGGACCGACTTTGACAGACCTTTCACTGGCAGATAGCTGATGTTATATGGAGTAACTTAGGCTACTTTTATTTTAGAAAAAAAATATAAGAGAATCCAATAAAAAAAAATTAAAACATACCTAGGGATGCACCCGAACGAAGCTAGGATAAACTAGTCTTAGATATGACAATAGATTTCAATTAGAAAATTTACATAACCAATTCTAACGAAAATGATGACAAATTACATTTCAATAACACACATTTATGATTGAAAAAATGTAGTAAGTTGGGCTCAATAGCTTTTACAAAAGTCTATAGCATTTGTAAGTTCAATTATGCATTTTAGACATTTTTCCTTAAAAATACTAAACTTATACATAACTATTCATCTTGTCTCTCTTGGTCTTTGTCCTTCTTCTTCTTTTTCTTCTTTTCTTTTCTTACTGAATCATCGGCCACTTCTGATGTTTCAGCGGGTTCTACTTTTGTGTCGGCTTCATTTTCTGTGTCACGCTTCTTCTTCTTCTTTTTCTTCTCTTGCTTAATCTCTACTGATTCATTAGCATCCTCAGCATTTGCAGTGCTAGCCGTTCTCTTTCTAGATCCTTCTTTACTCTGTTGTGTATCTCCATTTTCTTCTTTTTTCACTTTATAGTCAACATAACTGTTTAGCCACTCGGCAGGTGTGTTTTCATTAGGTTTGCCGAATTTATCAAGTTTCCCCTGCTGGATTAGTATCTTTTTTTGAGATGCTTTTGGACCCAAGCCCCATTTTCTTGGGTATGTATCTCTTTCCATTATTACTCTTTTTAATTTAGCAGCCACACCATGATCACATGAAGCCATGGTTGATGTTGTCATTAGCGCAATAGCCAGGGCTACCGCCTCTCCTTTAGTGGTCACGATAACAATTTCTTGATCAACTTCTATTCCATCTTCATACCTTAATATACCAGGTAAGAGAACCTTAGCACCATAGCATACTGCATTGACTGCACTGTCCTTAATGAAAATTCTTTTATGAGCAATTAATAGGCCTTCTAAGGGTTTAATCACCCGTCTCAAATATGTTTCGTCTTTGTGATTCTCATATGCCCACTGGGCATCCAAAATATCATGCATGGTCACCATACCTTCCTTTTCACCCTGGATTCCTGATCTTACTCTTCTGAGCTCTATCATCTGACCTCCAACACCCAGCATTAGACCTAAATGTACACACATTGTACGAATGTAGGAACCAGCCTCACAGCTTACCCAAAACACACCAATGTTACGTTCCTTGTCATAATCTAATAGTTTACTATCATATACTGTACGGACACGTAGCTGACGTTTAACAGCAGATATCAATGGCGGGCGTTGGAATAACGCTCCTCTTAGCTTTTCCAATCCTTGTGTAACTTTCTGTATATTTTCCACAGCAGAATGCAAATTGAATACAGCAACATACTCTTTTCCCGCATTTTGTTGGGATTTTACTAATCTTGTTGCTCTGTCGATGCAAACAATTAAACAACCTGTCACTTTAGGGTCAAGGGTTCCAGAATGTCCTGTTTTTTCAACCTTCAAGATTCTCTTGATCCATGATACGACTTCATGAGAGCTAGGATTGCTTGGTTTGTCTACGTTAATAAATCCTGATTTAACATATTCAGATATCGGGCGCTTTAGGGGAGAACTGCCAAAGGGAAGCGGGGTGTAGTGGTTAGTGCGCACGTTGAGACGATCGAAGTTCTTCAATAATAACGGCCAATACGCTGTATCTAGTTTATGTACACTTTCAGATGGCTCAATTTTAAATTCACCAATCTTTTGAAACGCACCAAGGCTGACTCCTTCCTTATTTTTCTTCTTCTTTTTCTCTGAAAACACCTCGGTGCCGGATTGCAATAAATCCGTCATGTTTATGGTATTAGGTTTTTAAAGCGCAGAATAGATATTATTGCCACACATAAACGTAACTTTGATATATTTATCGATTGATTTATATTCCCAATAGTGTTATTAAGCAACACGTGCGAAACATGAGGTTAGTTTCTGCTTCAGTTGGAGGTCTTCATGTTTTTTGACAATTGACAGCCAAAAATATTATGTTTATATTACAGAGTAAAAATAGTCTTTAAAACTTATTTTTTATAAATTATTTTGAAAAAGTTAATAAAATAAGTATTTAAGGGGAGAAATAAGAGTCCATAAAATATTGTTTTTCAAATAATTTTACTATTATTGCTTGTAGTTCATCGCTAGTATTATTGCTTAGTTTTTTTAATTATATGAAATTTGAAATGAAATGAAATTTATTTATTTAGTATCAAATTCTTGTAAGTATACAGTAAACAACAATAGCTACGATGATACTGCAAAGGTATAAACTGCGTTTCAGATATCAACGTTTAAAATTTTAAAATTTTTAATTATATGGTGGCAAGTAGTATGGAAATTTAAGTTACATTCTCATTAAATTTAGATTAAAATGTAATCGTAATACTTGATTGATATAAAACTAAAACTTAAATATATCAATAAGTCATATTCCATTCTACATCATCAAAAATCTGATATATTATAATGTTTCAACTAATCATAATATCTTTGTAACCGGTACTAAAATTATGATATATGAAATATTATTGATATTTAAATAAAATATAAAAAAGATAACTATGACAAAGTATATTAAAGTTCATTATTATTTATTAGATCCATATTATGTTTTTGAACGATATAAAATGCTTTTTTTTTATATATTATCATAGACCATAGTTGTCAAATGTCAAGACTCAAGCTCAAGAAAGATTGTAAAGCGGCGTGTTTTTCTTCTGAGTTCTGAATTTAGCGAAAAAAGTTTTAAACTTCATAAACATTAATTAATGATACACATTATAACTTAAAACTAATTTTTAAAATGGCGGGTGTGTTATTTGAAGATATATTTAATGTTAAAGATATGGACCCTGAAGGCAAAAAGTTTGATCGAGTTAGTCGTTTACATTGTGAATCTGAATCCTTTAAAATGGACTTAATATTAGATATCAATTCATGGATATATCCAATGGAGCTCGGTGACAAATTTCGACTGGTTCTAGCAACAACATTGCGAGAAAATGGTTATCCTGATGGTGGCGAATGGAATCCTCTTGAAACTGAAGGAAACAGGGCTGATAGTTTTGAATATGTTATGTATGGAAAAGTGTATAGGTTAGTCGTCTTCTTTATATCTAGAAAAATCTTATAATGTAACCTCAAAATGGCAAACGTTTAAATATATTATTCTACTTTCCATTATTAGGTATATACTGTGTAATATATTACTTGTTCTTGTATAAATTAAAGATAAAATTAAAAATATTTTATCAAGCAAAGCGTATTACTCTGTTCAAGTTTCTTATTGATAGAAATGTGTGGAATTGAGATTTTTTTTTTTTGATCTTGCAATCAGTCTTGTAAGATCAGCGAAGTAAGAATGTCAGTGAAGGGATTGAGAAATATTGACTCATATGTGGGCTATCTACATTGTTATTTTAATAAAATAAACAAATGTAAGTTTTATATTTAAAAGAGCAACAGTTGAGTTTCTCTTGTGCTCTGCTCAGCAGAACTGCTTTCAGAACTGATCAACAATTAAAAAAGTGCTTGTAATAAGTCTCATTAAATAGAGTTTATTTCATTTCATTTCTATCAAAATTGAGTGAGATATTGATGGAGCTAAATAAAAGACCTTTTACAACCATCCCTTATAACATTTATTATCGTTTATAACTTCATTATTTATAAGTAAATGTAAGTCAAAAAATATAAAAATAATTTTAAAATTTTCAGGATAGATGGAGATGAAGTAGCAATGGAGCCAGCATCCCGCCTTTCAGCATATGTATCTTTTGGTGGACTGTTGATGAGATTGCAGGGTGATGCGAATAACTTACATGGTTTTGAAGTCGACCAACATATGTACCTTTTGATGAAGAAACTCGCTTTTTAAATGTTTTCAGTGAAAACCATAGATTTTATAACAAAGTCTCGTTTCAATTATTTGGCACAAGTTTAGTATATGGGACGCGGCTCCTGGCGGAGTTGGTGGTATTTTTGGATAGGGTAGGTGCAGGGAGCCCAAATATATAAAATTATTTTAAGGAGTAAAAAGTTATTGAGACTTGAAGTTACAATATTTCCATACATTTCGTTACCAACTAGCGGAGTGGGTGGTATTTTTGGATAGGGGAGGTGACAGAGAGTGAAAATATATAAAAAATATTTTTAGGAAACGTTAGAGTAAATAGTTATTGAGAGTTAAAGTTACAACATATCTAATACATTTCCATACATTTCTTTACCTAGCTATGTGATTACAAAAGATAAACATACCTTTAACAAATAGTAAACATCCTTTTTTATGCACAATACATATTTCCACCACAATTAAGGCTTTATTGTATTTAATTTTTTAATAATTTCACAACAGTGTCTATTGTAAACAAAATGATCTTACATTTTGACAACTGTCAATTTCTGTTTTACATTACCGCCTAAATGACAACAGATTATAGTAATACAATTTATAAACGTGAGTAGACTATTTTTAAAATCTAAGTGTATTATTTACTTTTGGTTTTTATTTTGCGACATCGTGGCTAGTTTAAGATTCACTCCTCCAGGGGCCGCGTCCCATATACTAAACTGCAGCCAATTATTTTTGTATAAAAATCTGATCTTTAAGCTATAGGAACATCAAATTCTGTGAATGGTATGAGGAAAATAAGTAAATTTTCTTTCATAAATATATTCAATCAGTTTATTTCAATTTTGAAATAACCTAAGTATGATTTTTACATATTTTCTTAATAAATAGCTAAAGTATAAGATAAATATAAGAATAAATATAATGTTATGGATAACTTGTGTTTATTTCCTCCAAATGTCACAATTTTTTTGATAGTTGTATATGTAATACTCTACAGTCCCCAATGGATTTTTTTAATGATTAATAACAAGCAGAAACTTCTACGAGAATTTGATAGTGGTATATACAATTATTATGGCTTGATATGGAACATGTTGAAATGGTGATTGTCAATTTTTTTTAGTAACAAGTTTGTAATACGATTTATTTTTAGATAATCTAACATTAAATAAAAAAAAAATGTTTGACTAAAATAAGTGTAGAAAAAGGTTAATTTACAGAAAAAATACTCGTAAAGAACGAAAATTTGATTTAAAACAAAACAGAATGCATAAAAAATTGGTTATTATTTTAAAACTAGCAACATCTATCGAACGGTAGTGGCGCTTTTACGGCTAGTGACATCTAGTGTTTAATAGATAAAGTAAAACGAAGTTTCACAAGTAAACCTTTATTTTTATTTATTTTCCGGAATGGATTGAATTTAGTTTTAATTTTTATCATCCTATAATATCACAGACATATTATATTAGATCAGATACTCTTATTTCTTAGAAAGAAATTGGACCGCCTTAGTTTAAACTTTTTACTTAAATAGACGATAGATGGCGTTGATCTGAAAGCTGCCAAATTACTATAATTAAAAAAGATTTGTACATCTAAAAAAAGTACTTTTTTGATCGATGAAAAAATGTATAAAAATAAAATAAAATAAAATAAAATTTTAATAGTGATGCATATTTAATACAAACAGCTATATTTATTAATATTATTTTGTTTAAGTTCATCATTTCATTTTCTATTATTTTTGATATTTTTTTAGAATTAATATGTATTTATATTTTATATGATCAATTTTTTAATTAAATTTTGTTATTAAATTTTCTTCAACAACAACAAGGAAGATTAAGGTAGTTCAAATAAATGATAATAGATGGCGTTACATGCATCGATTTCAGATTTTATACTGAAGTTGAAGCAAATTATTTTTGTATAAAAAATCTAATCTTTTCGTTATAGGAACATCAAATTCTATGAATCACATCAGAAAAATAGGTACATTTTTGTATATAATCATATTCATTTAGATGGTTTTCATTTTGAAAGCAAGAAACAGATTTTAAAATTGATAAACTATTTAATACAAACAGATTTATTTATTATTATTTTTTTATTTAATAGTTCATCATTTAATTTTCCATTATTTTAGATATTTTTTCAGATTTAAAATACCTTTTGAGGTAAATTTTTAATTTTTAATTGAATTATGTTATTTCATTATCTTCATAGTTACCAACATTAGGATCTCATTAGGTTTGTATATAATTAACAATTATTAAAACAGATCCCAGTATAGGTATTTTTATTATAAAAATATTTTATTATGTAAAATAAAGTTATTGTCACTCAGATTTGCGTAAGTTTTACAAATTATTCAATAACAAGCCGTCAGGTAATGATTTTCTAATCCTATTAACAGATGGCGCTGTTTACTTTTTGTGAGTTCTTTATTACAATTAAAATCTATTAAACTTACTGAAATTTATTTAAATTTATTCTATTCGAGGTATAACCAGAGGCAAGAATTTTTTTTTATTTACATCATGTTAATATAAATTTATATATCTGTAAATATAAGTTGTTTTTTTTTAAATGTATTCATTCATTGTCGTTTTCCTAAAGAACATTAAAGTTTAAATAAAAGCTTGTCTTTACATATTTCGGGTTTTAATCTTCTCTGTTAAACTATAAATTGCTGTTTCTTTTTATTTTTAAAATTTCTTTATTTGTAATTTGTACAGTAATATGAGGAGGATAAAAAATATCCGATATCCTTCCTAAAGTTTCAAACTATCTTATTACCAAATTTCATCTAAATCGGTGCAGTAGTTTTTGAGTTTATTCGTTACAAACAAACAAAAATACAAATATTTCCTCTTTATAATAGTAGTAGTAGTAGTAGTAGTATATATATATATATATATATAACTATAAACAATTTGAAAAAGTACCTATTTGGAGATTAAACCGCGATCTCTATTGGAACAGATTCCATGAATGACCCCTTTATTTTAAAGTCGGTTAAAAAGGCGTAACAACACTACATTCGTATAATGATTGCATGCGTATAATGACATATGTACCTACGTCATCTCAATGGGGTGGCGAATAATTGCGGGCACGCGACGTCTCGATGTTCTCAGGGTTACCGCTGTGAATATGTGATATACATACATACATACATACTATGTAGAATCTAGTTTTAATATTTAACTAGCGATTGCCTGCAGCTCTGCCTGAGCACTGTCTGTTTGATCCGGCTAATCTCTAAAACGGCTGGACCGATATTGACGGACTTTCATCGGCAGATAGTCGATGTTTTAAGGAGTAACTAATGCCCGATTTCACCAACAACCCATAAGCTACCACCTACGTATGTGATCCCTAGCTTAAAATTCCCCTATACTAGCCCCTACATTAAATTTCGTTTTACCATCATCTTTAATCTCATATTTCGAGCACCTAAATTTAGGGGGCATTTTAACATTTAGATGACCCCTAACTGTCGGTGAAACAGAAACTGTCCCCTAACAGCCCCCTAACCATGCTTAGGGGATCCCTTAAACTTAGGTGACGTTGGTGAAATAAGGGCATTAGACTTATATTTAAGTAAAAGAATTAGGGTTCCGCGCAAAAAATGATAACATACTTAGCTAGGTACGAACTCGAGCGAAGTTATTAACAAAAGTGCTAAATTCTTAATAAAACTTAAAGGGATTTGTTTCAAATGATCGGTTGACTCGAGCACGTGGCGATAACGAGCGCGTGTCGCCTTTGTTTAAGCCGAAAAAAAATATGTTTTTTAATTGATTTTGCTCTATTCATACTAAAATTAAAGCTTAATTTGTAGAAACTTAAATGTCCGTATATTATTAAATATTTTATACTAGCATTGCACGCGGCTCCGCCCGCGTTCAGATGACCAAAAACCAAATTCTTAGGTTTTACATATTAGTAGGTATACTCTCACATTGCAGTTTTGATTTTTTTTTCGCAGAAATGAGATATTTTCCTATATAGGTATAAAATATAGATAAAAAGTATCCTTATGTTGACCCGGATAACCAGCTATCACCATACCAAATTTCATCAAAATCCCTCCAGTGGTTTTCCCGTGATGCGGTAACAGACAGACAGACAGACAAAAAATCTATAAACTATAGACTCCGCCTCTGTATCGATAATAATGTCTATTTCAATAAGATTTTCCAAAAAATATTTAATGTACAGATTCGGCTTAGTTACAATTTTATTATATGTATAGATATGTATAGATGTATAGATAACCTATTTTAGCTTTTTCTTCAAGCTAATCTCACGCGGTGGTTAAAAATAGACTATAACTTATTTTTATTTATTGCTAACACTAAGGCTCGGCAATAACTACTAAACAAAAGAAAAAGAAAATCGGTTGACAAACAGAGGTGAAAAAGATACCTATTTTTAGTAGGTAGGTGCCTATTATTAAGGTGCTTATTACATAGGCAGTGGTAGCCCAGTGGTAACGGGCTCGCTTGGGAAACAGAGTGAAGCGGGTTCAAAGGCGGGGTCTCGCACCTCTGATATTTTCATGTGTGAATCATTTCGAACATGGTTACCACGTCTTGTCTTAACGGTGAAGGAAAACATCGTGAGGAAACCTACATGTCTGAGAGAACTTAGCAAGTTTTCAAAAGACATGTGAAGTCCGCCCGCACTTTGCCAACGTGGTGGACTAATGTCTAGATTCATGTATGTGTCATGGCCTGATTCCCCTCGTACAAGCGTGAAGGGAAACCCGTGCCCAGCAGTGGGACGTTAAAAAGGTCTGAATACAAGTGGCCTATTTATATATAGAACAGCGACTTACCCTCACTTCACTCGGTTTCCCCCTCTCCCTAGGTTTGTCCCTACGTACGGTTAACGGTTTGTATGGATACTCCACGGGAACCGCACATTTTCCGGAATAAAAAGTAGCCTATGTGCTATTCCAGGCTATAATCTATCTCTGTGCCGAATTTCATCCAAATCCGTTCAGC